GTGAAAAAACTGGCTAATAAGTCTGATAAGCCGAAAAAGTGGGTCACCAAACGGGCTCTAAATGCATTATCCTTTTATAGCTAAGGTAGCTCTTAAAATTTGTCCTGTCAAACATACAATTAAAAGCTGTCAGAGACTTTTTGAACTATACAAAAATTAGAAGGCATGGACTTTCTGCCAAACATGCACTTAATTCATTTGCCCGCCTAACACCCCACTTTCTCGTCCAAATCTCTCTCATATCTTATGTTATTATATCTGTGTATATGCATGTATTTTAAAATGATTAAACTTGATTTTTCATTTGCTATGTTAGTATTCCTCACACGTCATACGAAGTCTTTTAATTTTTTCATTTCTTTTTTTCTCATTTCCCGTTCAATTCAAACTTTTATTCTCGCTTTTTATGGTAATATATATATTTCGTAAAAATGTATATGTTAAATCCTATTTAATTTATCTCTTTATCATAAAAATGCACTCAAGACTCTTGATTTCACCGACATCATCCTCTATGGAGCCTCAAAGCCCAAATGTCAAATGTGTTGGTTGACGTTTTAAACAACTCTAAAATTGGCATGCATTTATACATTTGAATATTATTAGTTTTTCATTTTAAACATATATTCTCTCAAAAACTATAGAAATAGGTCTGTGAAGAGTAAAAAATCCCACACAATTCATAACTTTGACAACTTTGATGCTTCGCTTTTTCAATTAAAATCGAGCAATAGTCTCGCCTTATTGGTGACTTCTACAAATGCCACAGTACTACAGTAGCATGCTTCATACAGTAAAGTAGCCGGCTTAGGTATAGTAGTAGTTTGCAAAAAAAAAGGGAGTTTTTTCCTAAAGGAGGGTAGTCTCCCATCTTATTTCTCAAATGAGGGTAGTTTTTTCCTTGTCATCCAATTTCCGCCACATCACCTACTCCACATCATTCACCGTCATCAATCATTCCACGTCATCAGCCATATGGGTATTCTTTTAAAATATAAAAAAATTTGTTGCCCCCGGAATTGAACTCACGACCAAAATTAGGGGTGGACTCGGGCCGGGCGGCCCGACCCGGAACCGCCCCGGCCCGGCCCGGTTACTGTTTGGCCCGGCCCGGCCCGGGGCCCGGTGGGTCCATCGGTTCGGTTTGGCCCGGCCCGGGTGATGGGCGGTCCGGGCTCGGCCCTGCTTTAGGTGAACCGGCCCGGCCGGTTCGGACCCGGGCCGGATTTTTAATTTTTTTTTTTTTGAATTTTTTTTAAGTTTTGGATTGGATTGGGTATTTTGGGCCATTTGAGGTGGTTTGGGGTGGTTTGGGGTTGAGGGGGAGGGGTAGAGGGTTAAATAGGAGAACCAAAATAAAAAAAAAATGGACCGGTTTGGCCCGGCCCGGTTTGGCCCGGAACCGGAACCGGCCACCGGCGGTTCGGGCTCGGGCCCCAGATTTCTGGCCCGAGGCCCGGCCGGGCTCAGGCCCGAACCGGGCCCGAACCGGCCCGAGTCCAGCCCTAACCAAAATGATGGATTTGCATCTTGGAACTTACAAGGCTACATTGACTTGTTGGTATAATCACACCTTTACAAGTATTTAACATCTATGTATGCAACGTATTTTGATATACGCAATTCAAATATAATTTAAAATAACTCTACATTAATTAAATAAAATGAGAAGCAAAAATGACAACGGCTGGACTAATTCATCCCATATATAATAAAAAAATCTTATATTACTAATGCGTAAACGTGTAAAAATATAAATTTCATGACAAAAATTAAAAAAAATCCAACACTGAAATACATTTTTTTTACAATCACAATATAAGTATTTCACAAGTCTGAGATGGATTTGAACCTATATTGACATTTTTTATTTTTTATTTTATTTAGAGTAGATTTATTTTAATTATAACAAATTACGTTTTTGTTATAATTTTTAATTGAGTTTTAATTTTTTAATTGTATATCTCAAATTAAGTATTTATCATATTCTTTTTTTAATGTTATGTTATCATATTCTTTAATTGTTTGAAGAATGACTAATATATCTCTAAAGGAACGATTAATATGTGAATTAAGTTGGTGATGTCATGTGCTTAAATATATAGTATGTAGCATATATCAAATTACGTTTTTGTTATAATTTTTAATTGAGTTTTAATTTTTTAATTGTATATCTCAAATTAAGTGTTTATCATATTCTTCTTTTAATGTTATGTTATCATATTCTTTAATTGTTTGAAGAATGACTAATATATCTCTAAAGGAACGATTAATATGTAAATTAAGTTGGTGATGTCATGTGCTTAAATATATAGTATGTAGCATATGTCAAATAAATGTCAATATACTTGTGAAATACTTATATTGTGATTGTAAAAAAATGTATTTCAGTGTTGGATTTTTTTTTAATTTTTGTCATGGAATTTATATTTTTACACGTTTACGCATTAGTAATATAAGATTTTTTTATTAAATGTGGGATGAATTAGTCCAGACGTTGTCATTTTTGTTTCTCATTTTATTTAATTAATGTAGAGTTATTTTAAATTATATTTGAATTGCGCATATCAAAATACGTTGCATACATAGATGTTAAATACTTGTAAAGGTGTGATTGTACCAATAAGTCAATGTAGCTTAGTGGGTTCCAAGATGCAAATCAATTGTTTTGGTCGTGAGTTCAATTCCTGGGGGCTTTAAAAGTACCCTTAATTGGGAAATAAGATTGGAGACTACCCTCCTTTGGGAAAAAAGGTTTATAGTAGTAAATTTGAGGGAGTCATAATTTTGGTAGAGTAACGTTACTAAAAACTTAATGTTGTGATCTCTTTCCAAAAATTTAATATGATATATTCCATCAGTTCCATTAACAATGGTATGAGGGAGTATCACACATATCAATAAAAGTATGTTTATGTGGATGATATTGAATTGATAAAGTAAGAACAAAGTAAGAATGATTTAGAATCACACAAATTTACTGAATTTGATATAGGACAATTTTAGTGGGACGGATCGAAAAGAAAAATCGGGACAATCTAAACGGGACGGAGGGAGTATATATTAGTGGCTTACTAATTAGTAAATTATTACAAATGCAATTAAGAACATAGTGGCTTATTAAGTAATTTATTAAAAATACAATTGCTTGTTCACACACACAAAGTCCTAAACATTTGTATGTTTTCATACTTGATTATATATTCATTACATCTATTTTATCCATTCTTTCATTCGCTCATTTATTTCATTTATTTATCTTATAATTTCAATACACTCCTAAACATTTGTACTTAATTCCCTAACAAAAGTGGTTAATCATATATATGCGCGGAGAATAGCAAGAAGCAGAAGACCTAGCATAGTGTAGGGTTTTTTGGCGGGCGGCGGTGGTGGTTATTCACGACAGCTTTCTCCCGGTGTTAACAACTTGTGTTGAGCGACAATTCAAGCAGGGCGACGGCGGCTCTATCAGTGACAATTAGCGACAGACAGCGAGTACGATGAATTCTACAAAGCGGCAACAGATCGTCCTTGCAATTGATGTCACTGGCATTTAGAAGTTTCGGAGGTGGTCGTGAACCTGCGACGGCTAGGGTTGTGAGGCTTGATTTTCCGATGTTTTGTTTGATTGTTTTGGCTCTGTATGTTGGTGATGGAGATGGAAGATGCACAAGTTGTATCTGATCCGGGTGGAACACTGGCGGTTTGGGGTCCAATGAAAGGAGTGAAATTGGGCTCTAGTCGGATGATTGGGGGATTGGCGAATATTCAATTTGTAACGTTACTCTACCAAAATTGTGGAACTTGTGATAAACAAAATTAGTTTATTTTGAAAATACAAAATAATATTAAAAATTAGTGAACACTAATTTTTAATACATTACCTATTTATTATGCACACTCACTTCGTTCTAACTACGGTTTTTTATCAATATCAATAATGCAATTTATTTTTTCGATCAATGGTATATTGGATGATCAAATAAATTAATCCAAATTATAGAACTATGCCACAATCAAATTCAAAATAACAAGACCAACAAAGGCAACAATGCAGTTTTTTCGGTGATATAATATTGAATAATCAAATGAATCCAAGTTATAGAGTTATGACACAATCAAATTCAAATTGGATAATTCTCTAAATAAGAGTAAATCAAAGCTAAATTTCAAAAATAAGAGTGAAGGTTTAATTTAAAACTACTCTCTAAATTAAGGTCTCGACTTGTCAACTCACATAGAGTTCTTAAAAACCTTTTATTAACAAAACTTCGGATAAGAAATTATTTAAAATTGAATCTCATATGTTGGTATCTTTACTATCACAGATGCTGGTATTTGAGTTTTAACTTCAATACAAGGAAGAAGGAACAAACTCCTTAGATGGTATAAACATTATAATATGTCAATTTTATTAATTAACACATTTCTAAAATGGAGAAATTAGATTGTCAACTGACCTAATTTAGAAAATAATTAATCTTATGGTAAGATAATAAAATATTGTTTAAGTACATATTTCTTTAACTATTCTAGCTAGTATTCTATGTTATTCATTCATTCATTCAATAATCCAATAATCCGTATATTTTACACAAACTTTTTATGAGCGAACAATCAAATTTTAAATTTTTGACTGTTACCGTAATTACATTTAATTTGGCCGAAAGTTTGTTCCAATTTTATATTTATTGTGTTTAGTTACTTTAAACAATACATATGTGAGTAGCTTCCTACAAGAAGTTCTTCACATAAAAATCACTTGACTACACTCATGACTCATCTATCCGGACTATCTAACTGTTTTAACTACTTTCGGTTGACATCAACAAAGTCATAACTACCAAATTATCTCTTTAATCAAAAGGATAGAAAATTATACTTTATAAATCGGATTAAATGGGAATAATGGAATTTATTCGAAAACTGTTTTACTTTTTATTCTGAAAAGGGTAAATAGAGAAATAAATAGGGGAGTAACGATTTTGAGATTTAAAACGGCATATTCGAAATCAGTTAACCACCGTTCCACCAGAAATATTTCCGCGTTGCGCCAGCTGTCAGCTCGCCGGTTTTCTGGTTCCGTACGCGCCGGCCCACCGGCCGGTCCGGTGGTCCCGTTAAAATCTACTCACTACCCAGTGCCTTGCGCAGAGAAAGGAACGAACAGTGAGTCGATAACTATAAAACGAGAACGACGATTCGCGTTCTGATCTGCATTCTCTCTGCTTAAAGGAAAACTTAATTTGAATTTGTTGTGATAAAGTCTCTGGAGATCGATTTCGCGAAGAACATTGTTATTTTACGAGCGTTTGATGAGCAATGACGACGATCGGTGTAGGGGATGAATGTGACTCGGCGGTGAAGGAAGCTGAGCCGAAGGAAGAGTTGCAGAGGGCGGTGACCAAAGCTGAGTCGAAGGAAAAGTCGCAAAAGAAGGTGACGATAGTTGAGCCGAAGGAAGAGTTGCAGAGCGCGGTGAAGAAAGCTGAGTCGAAGGAAAAGTCGCAAAAGAAGGTGACAATAGTTGAGCCGAAGGAAGAGTTGCAGAGGGCGGTGACGAAAGCTGAGTCGAAGGAAAAGTCGCAAAAGAAGGTGACGATAGTTGAGCCGAAGGAAGACTTGCAGAGTGCGGTGACGAAATCTGAGCCGAAGGAAGAGTTGCAGAAGGCGGTGACGGAAGCTGAGCCGAAGGAAGAGTCGCAAAGGACGGTGACTATAGTTGAGTCGAAGGAAGAGTTGCAGAGGTCGGTGAAGGAAGCTGAGTTGAAGGCCGAGTTGCAGAGGGCGGTGAAAGAGATAATTAGCTCGATTGACATCAATGTCGCGGCCATTGATAGAGCCGAACGAGCGCTGCGCTCTCTGAGGACACTGATTGAAAAGAAACGTCTATCGTCAGTCGTGATTTCTGCACCAGATGAATTTCGTTGCTATCTTTCCAAAAAAATCATGAAGCATCCTGTTCTTATTGCCAATGGTCAGGTACTAAGGCAACTTCGTCATTTTAATCGAATCTTTGAACTGAATTCATAGATGAGTCTTCGGATTTCTCCTATTCTAGCCTGTAAATTCTTGTATGTTCGAACTTATGCTTCTATTTCTTGCTTCTGATTGTTCTCTTGGCTTATGTGTATCTTTGAACTGAATTTATAGATAAGCTTTAGGATTTCCTCCATTCTAGCCAGTAAGTTCTTGTATGTTCGAAGTTATACTTATATTTCCCGCCTCTGAATGTTTGTTGGCTTAAGTCTATCTTTGAACTTAAATTTTAGACGAGTTTTAGGATTTCTTCATTCTAGTCGGTAAATTATTGTATGTTCAAAGTCATGCTTCTATTTCTCTCTTCTGAATGTCCTTTGGCTTATGTTTTAGAATTTCTTCTATTCCAGCCGGTAAATTCTTGGATGTTTGAAGTCATGCTTCTATTTCCCACTTCCGAGTTTTCTTTGGTTTATGTAATTATATCTTCAGTCGTACTAGATGATACATCATGTAGAGAAATGTTCTGAATGTTTGAAGTCATGCATCTAGTAAGTTATGTAGAAATGGTTTTGTTTGATTAGATCTTGTCATACTAATTCATCATTAATATGCAATTTTGCAGACATATGAAAGGTCATTCATTCAGGAGTGGTTTAAATCTGAGAAAAAAACATGCCCCAGAACCCAACAGGAGCTTTCGCATACGGACCTTATACCTAATCTTCTGGTTCAAGAAATGATATCTGACTGGTGCAAGAGTAACAGCATTCATTTGCAAGACAAGGTAGAACTGCAAGGAATGACTGAGGCTGACAGAAACAATCTTCACTCTTTGCTTCAGAGAATTTCTTCAGGATTGTCTGCTCAAAGAGATGCTGCTAAAGAATTGCGCATGCTGACTAGAAGTATGCATCCTTTCCGGGCATTGTTTGGGGAGTCTGAGAATTTAATCCCCCAACTTATTTCCCCTCTGTGTGAAACCATAATACAAGAAGAACTCCAAGAAGACATAATCACTACCCTTTTCAATATCTCACTCCATGATGACAACAAGAAGCTAATTGCAGAAACCCCTAAGGTCATTCCTCTTCTTATTGAAGCATTAGGATCCGGGACGATTGCAACAAGGAGCAATGCAGCTGCTACCATTTTCAACTTATCAGCCCTGGATTCCAATAAGGCACTCATAGGGAAAGCCGGTGCCATAAAACCACTCATTTGCGTTTTAGAAAAAGGGCATCCTTCTGCAATGAAAGATGCCGCCGCGGCTATTTTCAGGCTATGCACTCTTCAAGAAAATAATGTGACGGCGGTCCGAGACGGGGCAGTGGGTGTTGTAGTGGAAAAAATTGTGAACAAAGTGAACGTTGGTGAATTTCTTGCCATACTTGCTTTGTTCTCAACCCAACAGAAGGCAGTAATTGAAATGATAGAGCTTGAGGCTGTTTCACTCTTGCTTGGTTTAATCAGGGAAACACCGTCTGCTGTCAATAAGGAGAACTGTGTGGTTCTTTTGTACGCAATGTTTTGTATTGACCGAAGTAAGTGGGAGGAGATAAGGGAAGCTGAAAGTAAGCATGGTACATTATCTCAACTTGCAGAAAGTGGTACTAAAAGAGCCAAAAGAAAGGCAAGCGGCATTCTTGACCAACTGAATAAGCCTTCCAATTGCTCCGTCAGGCTTCCACCCATTGCGGAAGATTCATACCACTCATAATGCATGATGAATACACTTGGATGCACATATCTGTAAATTCTAACGCTTTCATACTCTTTGTGCCTTTACAAATGTATTGAGGCATGTGTTCGTTTACAACCATTGTGTCTGTGTACATACAAATGATACAATATACCTTGCTAGTCACTGAACATATACACATAGATACCTTGGATTCTGGCATTTTATAAATACTACCATGCCATTTATATTGGTTAATAAATAGTATGAAATTTCACCACGTATGTTCTTGAATAAGTGGGATCTCAAATCATCACTTCTAGCTTTTTTGTGTTAAATAGAGTGATCTTCTTGACTGCATTCAAGGTAATGGCTAATATGAATGGGTTTTTTGCTTGAGAAACAATTGTGGCTCCTTTTCTTTGATTGTAGCTAAATATGCAAACATAAGTTCCTTTAGTTATGAGACTTCTTTGAATTGTGAGGTGGTTGCATCCTGCTCAACTACCTCAACACTGTCAACAGCGTGCTTCATGAGCATAGTGAACTCTTGACCATAGAAATTTTGGATGCTGTAAGGGCTTGTTTAGTTTGGGGACTTCCGGGGTGCTTATCTTTTTCCTTGATAACTATCTCTACTTAGAAAACTGGAACTAAAGTGAACATAAAAATACTTAATCTAACTAACCATATAGTTATTTCATATGGACTTAGCAGACTGTTCTGCGTGCATTTTGTATTCTGAAAAAATGAATAGTACAGATTCCATGACAAATACTGAAAAGTTTAATTGAACATTCATGACCCTCCATAATGTACAGCACTGGAAATATGTGTTTCATATGATTTTTTGGTTAATTAAGCAGTATCATTTTGAAAATAAAAAAAGATTTGAGGCATTAGCTGTAAACTTGTAACATGCTGTTGGTTGGACGGTATAAGTTGTAAGTAAAGCAAGGCTTGTGGGGTAGGCAACATGACAAACAACGTTGGGTTTGCCAGCAAGTTCATGGGTTTTGCATGGTTATATCTAAGCTCACGTTACTCAGAGGCAAACTAGTCCCAACTGTGTATATAACATGCATTACAAATGCAAGAATCATTAAAATGAATGAAGCATCCAAACATGGCTGCACATTCAGCACTCTATACATTTTTTATAAACAAAAAGGTCAAAGGAAAAAAGTTTTGGTATACATCGAAGCTGAACAAAAGGGTAAAAGTAACAATTACAAAAGGGTAAATTATGTAAATATTGCTAAAAGATAACACATTTTCCTTTAAATAGGACTATCATTGTTTTTTTCTAAAAATAAGACTCTTTCACTCCAACTAATTTTATTCTTTTTTAGGACTGAATGAGCCTTATTGTCAGCATAAAACAAGTATACTCCTATTTGTGCACAAGAAATATGTTTTACTCATATTTGCACAGAGTTTATTATTTATTATCATAAAACCTGCTTAGCTAGCAGCTTGCTCTCCAAAAAGCTGTCCTCTAAAAATGGCAACCTCTCCCGGATGCTACACGCAAGTTGCAAAGCTTCATGGTCAAACTTCAGTTCTTTTCGTCCCAGACTCTACAAAATATCAGGGGGTTTATCATCATGAGCTGATAGCCAGTTCTGTTGTCACAGGGTTTATCATTATTATGATTATAAATATACCAAGTATACCTCAGAAGCCCATAGGCAATCCCTTGCTGTACGGGGAATTATATGAATGTGGGTCTGAAATTTGGCATGAAATATAAAATTAATTACAAAATGTAAGCTCTCTCTCATTTATATCATGAACAAAGTAGTCCATGGAAACCCATTCCTTAAAAAGAAATTTGAAAGTTCAATATGAGAAGGATCAAGGGGATAAAAAAGAAATGGAGATCATATATATGTACTTACATGAAGTATAACTTGCCCTGCAGCTTCACCATTGTTAACTAACAAATTGAATGAATCTGTCAGCCCAAAATTGAAGCAGTAAAAAAAATTAAGTCAACTTCTTTCCCGTAAAATGGGCAATTTCTTAGGTGATTCACCAATCCACCAATATGTATTTTTTTAATTTATGTTAATAGTAACGTAGTATCATCATAAGACATTGTTTAAATTCATTTTATTGTGTATGATTATGAAAAAAATCAGTTATTCTGTTATGAACACTTACGTATAACTATGAAACTTGCATATCCAGTCATTATGAAATAATGTAAGTAGAACGATTATACAAGCGTTCATACAACACCTATTTGTGTTTTTTTAGGTAAAATGCATTCGTTTATAAAATGCATTCGGAAACACAGGAAAGAAACGAGGGGGCACTTCATACCAAAATAAGCAAAAAACAAAACTGAATCCAGAAAGAAGGATATTTACCAGATTCAGTTGCTTTCATGACAGCATTGCCAATTACCGGTACTTTCGAGAACATTTTGGCGACAACCTGAAAAGAAACGCTTCTTGAAACAGTAGAAATTTGAAAGTTGAAACGAAATATTAAATTAAAGAAATACTAATAAGATGAAATTCATCATTTTGAAATACACCATTATCACTCAACCCTGTGAAAGATTAGAGAGAATACTTACATACGGCGGAGTTGCTTCAAGATTTGGAAAATGGAGTTTCGGGATAATCAACGAGTGCCTGGCATTGAAGTATAAATAGTCAGTGGATGACAAAACCCAACGAAAAAGAATAACATTAAAAGCTATCAGCTAATAGTTACAAAACACTGTGAGCCCATATCCATCCAGACCCAAGAGTCAATCCCCGGGGCTATTTCTGCCTAGAGCGGCATTCTAAAATCCACCCATTATACCATATTACCATTGTCTATTAAAGCAATATATTAAAGTTTAGGATCATGTATAAGTTATTTCAGTCAGTTTAGTGGCTAAAGAAGATGCATGAAAGGTTTAGAGCCATCTTCTACTCTCTTCCCTTATTCTTCACTTTTTGAACTTAACCTTTGTGATGGTCAGTGAGAAACAGTTTTTACTACATCCCCAAAAAAGTCCTATTTCAGAAACATATTTTTTGTCCCAAAAAAATTATTTTCAGCTAAAGAAGCTAATTTTCAATAACCCAAGGTAAATTTCACAAAAATGTGTTTCACACACATAAATATGTTAAAATTAGTTTAAACCCCAAAATTTGGTCTTAATCTTTGCAGCTACAAGTTGTATATGTTAGTCTTGGTAATCTTAATAAAATTCATGTTAAGCTGGGGTATCATGAAATTTAGGATATATAAAAAAAATGTCAAAACAGGACTTTGGTAATGAAAAGACGATGCCTTACCCCCGGCTCAAGGGATTTATATCTAAAATACAAAGGCATACATCATCTTCATATACCTGTAGGCATGAAAATTCCATGCAAAATTAGAAGACTCGAAAGCACAAAGAGTACATGCACTCACTCACATGCACATATTGCGTTTTCTTCTTATGTCCATTTTGACAGATAATAACCAGATTATTACTAAACCTTGATACTTCTAGAGTTCTAGTATCACTTTTACAAGCCATTTAAGCTAATTACCATATTCTTTCACAAGATTTAGCATAATAAATCAATATATTCTGAAACGTTCTGCAAGTTATCCTCACCAGTGCATCACATGCCTTCACAAAAACAGGAAGTTTGCAAATGACTCAGAGATTGTTCCTTCTAATTAATAAATTGTGCTGTTGACATTGTTTATTTCATTTCTAAAAAACCACATTATTTTAAAAATACCTTGTTTGAGTAAAGTGTATAATCTGAAACTTATTTTCAAATAGAAGGGGAGGATTATATCAGTATTTTAAAATCTTTTTAAAAAGAATTCTTCCAAAAAGATCACTCATGACCTCTGTGATCACTTCAGTCACAATTAGCATAGCCAGGAAAAGGCGGGTTATAAAGAATAAAGAGGTAAGTGACAACGTGGAGGCAGTGGCCTAGCCGGAGAAAATATCAGGACTGGCAGATATAAAGAATTATTCCTATATATTTTTACACAATTTTATTAACACATAAAGTTCAGGCATTTTTCAAATTTGGGTGGAATGTAACCAAAAACGGTAGGGAGGCTTCGGTTGGGGAAAAGCACCGCCTAACCAGTTGACTATGCAGTCGGGTGAGGACCTGTTGGCAATTGATGGACCCTGAAAAGGAACAGCCCAGAGGTCAACCGGGTGGCTATGTGGGACCTTTCTTCCTTTTTGGGTTGGTCAAACCAGTGTTCTTTCTGTTTCCTTCTCGGGGGATACCAATTCTGGACTCTTTTCACTTGATGGTAAAACCATGCTTTTTGATTTTCTGTTAGATCTGAAGTCGTTTTATTTTTCAGTTGACAGTGTAGCAGAAATGCAGAATCCAATCTTTTAGAAAAGTCTATACTATTGCTTGGTTGTTCTTGTTACTCTAACAAATATTGATGCAGTTTTAATTAATCTTGTGCTCTAGAATCATCTTCATTAAACCCATTATTATCTAGTAATTTGGTTTGAGATGCAAGTAATTTTTGTTTATGAAGTTAGGATTGCAGTTTTTATTAGATCAAACTTCAACAAACAAACAAATGAATCCAAATCGGGTATTCGTACTGTTTTGGATTCGATTTAATTAGGCCATATAAATTTACACGCCAAAATCTGGAAGCATCTTAGAATCGGAAAGAAAAAATCTACAATATACAGGCAGTAGACATATAACTTGAGAAATGGGAAAGTGGGAGGACCTTCAATGCCGGAGCGTCGCCTCTGACAATTTTGCAGAAGACGCAGTCGTTCTGAGCGGCGCCGGAGCTGGAGGAGCAGCTGGAAACCGAAACCGGAGAAATGGTTTCAGAAACTGGCGGTGTCGGGCAGAGATGGGAAGAGAGAAGAGCGGCCCGGCGTCGCGCCCTTGCCTCCATTTGGAAGACTGATTATGAGGAGTGGGAGAAGATGATTTTATGATGAGTAGCCATGGATTGGATTTGGCGTTTGCGATGGAGGGGACAAGTAGACAGAGATTGTGCTTTATGATTGGAATAGCGGCGATTAATGTGAATGGCGGGGTGGGCCACCGCCACGCAGGTGGTTGATGGTCGTTGGCTCTGCCTTATCCACACAGCTTCCTGCTTTACTTTATGTTTCACGAATCTTTCTCGCGTCAATCAATTTTCATTAAAATTTAAGGTTGCATATCCATTCACAAGACACGCGTCTTAGGCCGGTTTGATAACCTGGCTCATCAATCTTGTTGAAGAATCAATTTCTACTTTAGTTCATCGAGAACCTCTAGTATGGAAAGTGGTTGAAATTGGTAACAAATGATTGATAAGATGATAAATTGAAATACTTTATCAAAAGTCACGCGTCTTGGCACTGTTTTAACACTTTGACGCTGTTTGAAACTGTTTCTGATGTATATAATTTGCCAAATAAGGAAATGTTTGAAAGTAGAACTTAATTTGAGTACAGCCCGAAAAGGAAAGGTGGAACTTCTTTAGAATCGGAAGAAGTATTAAAATGGTTAAGGTTGGTCTTAATTTTGATTTTTTTTCTAAAAACTTATAAGCACCAATGCAAGTAAGGGTATTAACGATATATAAATAATGTTGGTGTAATATTAAAGCAACATGTGGTAGGTCTATAAGCTTAATTGATTGTACCCCTTATTTTCTACCCATAAGCCATCTTTACTCCGTTAAAGCATTCTCGTTTGGCCTGACACTTGATCCGTTTTATTTTCGTTAAACTCTTTCACATTTGTGTTAATTGATAAGTAGTACCATTTATTGTGATTACCAGACTCTTTAGTTGGTGATTGGATTTATTATCATCCAATTTCTTCTCCAACCATTATACATAGTATTTAAGTTGACTCAGTTTTCTCAAAAAAAAAAACAATGACATGTCTCAAATGGTTTTGAGAGTATATCAAAAGAAGTAAGTCTACGGTTGTAGAGTTTCCTGGGCGGTATCTGTCATCTATGAATATTACTACCTCCGTCCCACTAACTTTGGGACAATTCAATTTACGATGCTTGACCGATGATAAAGCAAGTAGATCCCTATCCGCACTCAGATTGTTTTTAGAAAAAAAACAAATTACATATTCAGAAATTACATTAAAAGTTTTACAAAGTCGCAAAAACCAGAATCGAATTTGATAAAAAATTTGATATACAAAGTAAGAGATTAAGAGTGATTTGTGTTGACCAAATAAATACTGTCTGGGACAATCTAAGCGGGATGAAGGAAGTAACAATTAATTACTTGCCGTGCGTTTTTCTTCATCAGTGAATTATTCCCACACTGGTAAGAATATTGTGTTCGTACGGGGTTTTATTTGAAATTTACTTGGTTTCTTCACAAAACCGAAAAGCCGAACCGAAATTTCGGTTTTCGAGTAATCGGGTTCATTGAAGTTGAGATCAAATCGGTAGCTAATAATGGTCAAAGGCGATTGGGAGCTAGTGATTAGCCAAACATTGTTTTCGTACAGGGGTTTATTTGAAATTTACTTGGTTTGTTCACAAAACCGAAAAGCCGAACCGAAATTTCGGTTTCTGAGTAATTGGGTTCTGGACATAATTGGTTCGGTTTTGGTCCAATTATTTCTCAAACCGAAAAAATCGGCTCGGTTTCAGTTTATCCATTTTCGGTTTGAGACCCGCACCGAATCCAGCCCTACTTACAATCCAACCATGTAAATAACATATACTATGTATTTATCAGTTTATGTTCATTGAATTGTGCCTCATATTTTTTTTCTTCTAGATCTGTCACTATTATTATAATTGGCGGCCATATTTAGATCAATTGCATATATCATGTGGATGACCTTAACATGTGTAACTTTTATTAATTGAAGCTTCATTTCTAATCATCGGTAAAAAAAAGGGGGGGATTTCATAGGTAATTTTTTTTTTGAAAAAAGTGAGTTTTTTTTCGAATTAATGTTAATTAATTAATTAATTATGGAAATAATGCTGGAAAAAAAGTATTTACCAAAATACTGCTGGCCCTTAACCACGGTCAGGGGTAAGTCGCCCAACCGTTGGGCGACTTATAAGTCGCCAAACGGTTTGGCGACTTATAAGTCGCCCAACCGTTGGGCGACTTACCCCTGAAATATGGTTGAAGGCGAGCAGCTACTGCCAGCCAGGCACGATCGTGCCTACAAGGGTACGCACGATCGTGCCTATGTCCGAAAACAGCATTTCATCAGGTTTTTCGCCCCGGTTCAACCCAGACTCATCTGTTTGCTATAAATAAGGTCTCCCTTCTCCTGTTAAAGTATTACGAACTAGATACAACACATTATAAAACATACAACACACGTCTTCACAATGACCTACTCTCAACAATATTAAAAACACCTTATAAACACCCGTAAAAAACCTTCAAATCATAACCGGAATAACACAATACAATCATCATATATGCCATAACAAGTAATCATCTAATATTCATACTCGAACACATCAATACACCATACAATACTTAACAAGACAAAATACATCAAAACTTGTACATTGTTCGTACAACATCTACTGCATAAGAAAAACTACAATACAAAAGACAAACTACAAGTTCTCATCATCAGCTTCGTCATGGAGATGTTGTTGCTCATGTCTACGCCTACGGCGTTGTCGTGGTTGAAGAACCACTCTCTCATGTTGCGTCTGGGATGATGAAGCTGCGGCTGCACTAGATGTGGATGCCATCTCCTGAGATGGGGGCATGTGTATAAGATGTCCGTAGTCTACTCGGCCCAACACATCTGAGCACAACGAGGCAATGCCTGTCAGAGCCTGTCCATACATGTCCACATCAGGAATATCAGTCACAGTGGCAGTAGCCCGCTAATGTATGCTTTGCAAAGCTCGTGTCTGAAATATGAAACACAATTACAATTACATTCAAATACATACAAGTATTACATAAATAAAATGACTTACTTTACTAATTACTAATATACTCACCGTAAGATGCAAAGCCAAGGAGCTAGGCTGATAATGATGAGTAGGGAGTCTGAACGAAGGAGACACAAATAACCGAGTGATGTTGTAGTACCATCCCATGTAGTCTCCTGAAACAGATGGCACATATGTAGGTGTCCCAACCACAGCTAGCTCAACTCTCCTTTCCCACATAGTCACGTATCGGACATGGTTGAGTGCCCAATCCTCTGTATGCTTCCCACGCCTATCCAGCTTATGCAGCTCTACATAAGTGTCGATAGGACGTGGAACGACCTGCTCAAACCCAAACGGTCGCATGACTCTATCAGGCAAATGCAGCTCAACAATGTCAAAACATATCAACGGGACACGTGCTCGCCAGATGTGAGTATGCTCTCGTCCAGCTGGGGGCAACTCTGCTAACATATCAGGTCTAAACGGCATCCATGTGATCTGTTTCATAAACATACAAAATTAGTATTTATTCTACACCTATTCTAGTTAATGTTATACTACATACACCATACCTGGTCCTCAGACATCCGATCCAATGCAGCCCTGTAGACACCGAGCCCAGTAGCGGATGACATGCGAGATAGACCAGCATATAGCCACCTAACCATTCATGTAACAATATCAATAATATGGATATTATTAATTTATTAACATTCAACAAATACTCACATAAATACAAACGATTGAAAACATACCGACGGCCTAGAGGGTCCTCGCCCCGTACATGATGTGGTCCTAGCAGACGTGGAGGCTCATCAGGCAGTGGCTGTCCATCAATGCCATGATATCCGACTATAATGGGACGGCCAATGTGGATATACTCCCATGACCAAATCTGGAGGAGTAGCAAAAATCCCCCCAGCTCTGTGCTCCCTCTCTGGCAGCCGCGACACAGCTGCCTGTATAGATAAGCCAGGGTGGCACTACCCCAGCTGAACTGTGCTGCTACATCAAACCTCTCCAGCAAAGGCAAGTGTAGCACCTGAACCTCATTTCCGCTCTTGTCAGCGAAAATGGAGGCTCCCATCATCATCAATATATACGCCCGAGCATGCTGCTGGATGATCACCTCATCAGCGTCGGGAGGAAGGACCTGGAAGTGCTCCCTCAACCACGGCATCCTAAGAGATGACCCCTGAAGGTCAGTCCTAAGAACGGGGCGGATACCTAACAACCGCTCACACTCATCAACCCACTGTCGACAAGCAGTGCCTGTAACAGCTCTCCCATGAACCTCTAACCCGGTGAGTACAGCCACATCTCCCAATGTCACAGTCACCTCACCAACAGGGAGGTGAAATGAGTGTGTCTCCTGCCTCCAACGCTCAAGTAGAGCAGTGAGAAGGGATCTATCAAGAGGCACAGTAGCCACTAATCTGTGCAGTGTAAAAAAACCAGCAGCACGAACATAGGCTAGGACTCTGGGGTCGACATGTAAATGGGACAAACCCCGCAGGTGCTCGCGGCACCTATCAACCTGGACATCCATGCCAAGTCAAACATCCTCACTCCTGTGCGAGGCCTGCAATGTCAGGACAGAACGATCACTCGGCCCAGGATCCGCTATCACCTCCATGCCTACAAACAAATAAAATTTGTATTAGTTCTAATTGTATAATGTATTACTCTTTTTTTTAACATTCCTTTTTGAAATTATTAAGTTTCCTTGCAAGGAAAACATGATTTATGATTGACTCTAAATAGAACCTTACCCGACGGACCCCCCCTCTTGTCTAGACGATCTTTTCGCACATGTCACTCTATTATGGCCGGTTTGGTGGCATTTTCCACATCTAACCGTTCCTCGTGGACCTTCATCCATCTCATTCTTAATACGGGTCGACTTTGGTCTTCCCTTTGCCCGAAGCATGGATGGATCGTGCACGATTTCGGGTCCATTGTAATTTGGCCAATAATCACGATCAGGAATCGGTTTGAACACCCTATGATATGTGGCGGCGTATTGGTCAGATGAGAAGAACTTATCCACAAAAGGAGCATAAAACAAACTACGTTGTCTACACACGGCTAATACATGAGAGCATGGAATTTTGTATATCTGCATCTTTTTACAAGTGCAAGTTTTCCGTTGTAGGTGGACAGTTTGTTTTCTCCCACCCTTTCCCAACGTTCGGCCACCACAACCGGTTTCCACCTGAAATATACCTCTCCCTAAATCAAATGGAGTGACAATGTGATGCTTTGCCTTCTCTCTATTTTTTTCAATTAAATCTGTGATGTGTGGGGAGTACTCGTGGCCTTGTGTGAGCCTCAATTTACTGGTTTCACGCTTATGCACAAAGTAGGCATTAACCCGGTAAAAAGACACCTGGACCAACGCGGTAATGGGCAAATATCTAGCATTTTTCATGACGCTATTGAAAACCTCAGCTAGATTTGAAGTGATGGTACCGTATCTGTACCCGCCATCGTGGTGCAGCGACCACATTTCTGGAGGAATGTTGGCCAAAAATTGGCGTGCATCCCTACTCATTTCACCTATCTTCTTGAGCCCACCATCAATTTTTTTTTTCTGATGTTGCCGTGCGGTCCACACAAAAAGATTTTTTAAATGAATGTCTTTGAAATGTGTGTGCACATTTGATGCAAGATGGCGGATGCAAAGCCTATGATGCGCATAAGGCTCCTCCCATGTACTGCCCACCTCATTCATTGCCCTGACAATACCTCCATGTCTATCTGAAATGACACACAACTCCTTATCAGTCACAAACTGCCTAATACATGCCATAAACCATGGCCAACTATCTCCATTCTCGGATTCAACAACTGCAAAGGCGACTGGGAAAATTTGGTTGTTCGCATCACAACCCCTGGCCACGAGCAATGTACCCTTGTACTTTCCATACATGTGTGTGCCATCAATAGTAAGTACGGGTCGACAATGCTTAAAACCAGATATTGAGGCCTTGAATGCCCAAAAAACTCTTTGAAACATCATATAACCTGTGGAACCATTGGGGGGTGGGTACCACTGAACAACAGTTCCTGGATTAGAATGTTGGAGCGCAGTCATGAAACGGGGCAATTCGAAATATGACTTTTCCCAACCGCCAAATATTTGTGCTATGGCCTTTTGCTTCCCCATCCATGTTCTCCGGTAAGATACCGTATACCCATATTTTTCCTTCAACATCTCGATGATAGTATGCACTTTAAGAGAAGGATCAGTGCGAATAATGTCAACCACGTCTTTACAGATGAATTCTGATGTCAAGGCCACGTGATCTGTAGTGTCGATGTTGCCTACACATGAAGCAGAATGAGGTCCAGTATAACGCACAATTGTGAAGGTGTCAAGGTTGCCTTTGTTCTTTGTGGCGCGTATTCTCCAGGGGCAATGACATTTTTTCTTCCTTTTGCATTGTGCCACCCATTTGTGTTTATCAGACTCTATCACCCGATAGAATTGGTTCCGTTTGATAGAATACAAGCTCACCATATTGATGACTTGTTCTTTGTTGTCAAACTGTTGACCGACCTCAAACTCATCATCGGGGGTAAACCTTTTCTCACCCGATCCACTCATCCACGCATCAGTAAAGCCTTCAGGGAGATCATACATTCTAGTGAAGTGGCTAGACGGGGCAGTTGATGTCACAGTATCACCATCATCTTCATCAGATTCTGTCATGTCGTCACCATTGATGTTCTCGTCTGCATCATCATCACTTCCCTGCCCATCCACAAATGATGCACCGTTGTGCAAATACCTGCCATCCTCCTGTATAACCATGTCTAGTACAGGAACCTTTGACGACTTCCCTGCATTCACCCCTGCAATGACATCATGCCTAGATACAACAGCATTTGATGTCGATTGAGTAGCATTAGCGTCAAAGCATTCCTCAATGTATACCTCCAGCGACGACATATCCTCCATCTGAATTATGCCCCACATATTTGTTATAGCTAGCTCATCAATGAGGGGCATAAGCATGTACTTTCCCCCAGTTCATGGGAAATTTCATTTTCAACCGCAAAGAACGGCTAGGATGAATCATTGTGGCTGCATGTATTTTTTGAAGGATCTCGAGCATGCAAGCGCCACGAGAAACCATTACAAAGCTGGTTCTACCACCTTCATGGCATATTTGCCCAGCATCCTCATAATAGTTCCCTATCCAATGACACACGATTGGGAAGCTTGAGAAATCCATATTCTAATAACAATTCATTGTCCAAAATTCATGAGTACGCATCAATATACACACTTTATACACATTCAAATTTCCTAAATAAAAAAGCTACCAAAATTGTAATATATTCAAAAGTCGAAATTGACCAACAATTCACATCTCAATATGAAACTACCCAAATTTTGATAACTACATTCAAGTCTACATTTCAATATCCAAATTTAGCTACAATCAAGTCTATCCAAATGCCCAAATGTCAAAATACACATTAAAATTTACAATCAATTTAAAATCAAATTTCAACATTTCATACATATCCACATTTCACAACAACTGAATTCACAATCAATTCATAATCCAAAAATTCAAAAATTTTAACATTCAAAACCCTAGCTTCAAAATGAGATGAAATGGAGTTTGATTTACCTAGAATCAAGAAGAAAGAGTGTTGGAGCTGGAGATGGAGGTTCGTCGGAATGGGGTCGCCGGAGATGAAGGTTCGCCGGAGTTGGAGATGGCTCTCGACCTTCGTCGGTCGTCACTCGTCGTTGGTCGCTGCAGTTTAGCTCGATGGGGGGTTTGTTTAGCGATCTGTTTCTGTGGCTGTCTGCGATTATAAGTCGCCAAACCGTTTGGCGACTTATAAGTTGCCCAACCGTTTGGCGACTTATAAGTCGCCCAACCGTTGGGCGACTTACCCCGACCATGGTTAATCCAGCAGTATTTTGGTAAATACTTTTAACCCAGCATTAATTTCGTAATTAATTAATTAATTAACATTAATTAGGAAAAAAACTCGAAAAAAGTATGTAACTTTACAAATGAATTTCCTTCTCTGTAGTGGTTTATTAGTCAGGGATGTCCTTATGATGTACTCCCTCCGTCCCACTAAGATTGGGACAATTCGGTTTACGATGTTTGACTGACCATAAAGTAAAGTAACAAATACATCCATGTCCGCTCTCAAATTATTTTTAGAAAACAAAAATTACATATTCAGATACTACATTAAAAGCTTTACAAAGTCGGAAAAACCTGAATCAAATTTGATAAAAAATTGATATGCGAAGTATAAAGTAAGAGATTAAGAGTGATTTGTTTGACCAAGTGAATAGTGTCTGGGACAATCTTAGCGGGACGGGGGAAGTAACAATTAATTACTTATCGTGTGATTCTCTTCAATTTTGCATTCACTTTTCCCTTCTGTAGTTATCATTTTTGTACTCACGGAAACAATAACTAAATGTCCATGTTACAAAATTTCCTTGGGCATTATCCCAATCGCGCAACGCGCGTGGTGAAACTAGTATTAAAATAGTTGTTCATAGGACGTAAAATGAGTAAATGACCATAGCACCAAATTAACTAGGGAAAATGGAAACAAATAATCCAACCTTTTAGCAGTCTTCTTACAATAGTCTCACCTTTTCGTTATTCAAGAATAATCCAAACATTTGCATCACATCTTCATTCTCTGGTTCCTGAACGGTTAATGACTTGCAATTACAAGTTATTTTCTTATCTTTGTAAAATATAATCTTTTTGAAAGGTGAGATTTATCGTATAATAGTTTGCAAAGATAAGAAAATAACTTAGAACAGCAGGTATTATTCATGAATAACACAAAGGTGGGACTATTGTAAGAAAATCGCTAAAAGGTTGAATTATTAGTTTCCATTTTTCCAATTAACATTTACAAATCATTTACACGTTATCATATAAAGTCTTAAAATTTTATCGTACTAAATTGTCTTTTGTAAAATGAAATCTCGTCTCATAGTACGGTATGAAAGTTGTCTGACTGGTGTTTATTTGATTGGTTCACGTGGTTTGCATTAGACTGTATATGGCTAGTTTGACCCATGTATTAACTCGTTGCAATTTCCTTGTATCTCAATTCTCAATTTAATATAGAACAGGGTCACAAACCATTAAATAAAGTATTAGACCATTTATGCCCTTAGATCGACCTTTTAGTATGAATATTGTTGAGCTTAAGTCTCGTAGACCCGAAAGTACAACACACGCTTTGGATATTAAGGACGTTGGTTTGGATTAAAAGTTGTATAAAATATAAAAGAGTGAATAATCTAAACTCAGAAGCTAATCTTGCATTAAGTAATTCTTAGATTACACTGACCTACCCGAACGGTAAGTCGGAGTACGATCAAATATAAGAACAAGAGATGATTCTATTCTCAGCTCTGAGTATCAAAAAGCTAACTAGCTCTTTACAATGTATTCAATGCAGGTATTTATACTAAAGAGGGGGTAGGTGGGATGATGACGCGGCTGAACCCCGTTGGCTGCTGCTTCTGCCACCTTTG